ACCTAGCTTGCTATATTTAGCTGACTCTGGTTTTAGACATTATGCTTTGGAAACTGGTGGAGACCATCGCCTAATCAACATCTATTCTTTCTTCCTAAATAATAATCCCTATCCTATTGGAGTGATAATATGTTCAACTTCAGCTGTATTTCCTAGTCTCCCTTACAACTAGATATAGCCACATGATCAAGCAGTAGAATTGTTGAGAAGGACTTAAGGAGAGGCACCTAAAGGCCCTGTTTGCCTTCTATCCTTTTCCTGCCTGCTGCCTGGAAAGTGGTTATGACGTCTGGAGTTCCAGTAGCCATCTGGGACCATGAGATTACTTTGAGAATGGAAGTGAGGGCTGAGAAAGGCAGAAGAGAATAACAGAAAGGAGCTTGGGGCCCTGGTGACTTTGTGAGCTGTTATATCATCTCTGGGCTGTCTACCTCTATAAACTTTTTTTTTTTTTACCATGTTTCATTGAATCTTAAGATGCACCATTATTTATATATCATTAAGAAAAAGCCCACTGCCAATAAAACTGATACAGTGCTTTCTTATTGTCTCAACACTGAGGTCATTCCAATTTCAGAAATGTTAAATTGTGGGGAAAAAAATGTGTCTTAGAATCAACAAAATACATTATAAAAGAAATAATTAACCCTTGTGTTTTTAAGCCATCATTATTTTGGGCTTTTGGATACATTTCACACAGACTTGCTGCCTCCTAACTGATGCAGACTAGTTTTTAATTTTTCTGCCTGTCTACGTTTTGGACTTAAAACTCCTTGAGATTTCTGAGTCAACCTGCATCAGAGAGTCCTTGGTTTAAAAATTAACTTTACTGAAGTATAATTCTCATATATTAACATGTACCTGTTTTAAGAATACGTTTTGGTGAGTTTTGACAAATGCATGTACCCATTTAACTTCCACCCTGATCACGATATAGAGTATTTCCATCACCCCTTATACCCATCCCAGTCAATTCCCCCCACCCCAAACCTAAGCAACTGCTGATCTGCTTTCTGTCATTATATGTTAAATTTACCTTTTTCTAGAGCTTTATATAAATGGAATCATACAATATTGACTCTCTTTTGTGTCTGGCTTATTTCACTCAGCATGCTGTTTGAGACTCATCTATGTTGTCCTGTGTATCAATAGTTTGTTTCTTTTTATTGCTGAGTAGCATTCCATTACATGGATGCAGCACAATTTCTTTATCTTTTCACCAGGTGATGGATCTTAGGGTTGTCTCCAGTTTGGGGCTATTGTGAATAAAGGTGCTACGGATACTCGTATACCCAGGGAGTCACTTTCGATTCTCCTACAGCCACGGTCCAGTTCTGACCACTCTTGTATGCTGCCCTAAGATCCTATAGCTCTTGCTCCCTACCCCTGCCCTTTGTCGGCTTGTCTGTTGATACAGGCAAGTTTGAGCCACATCCATCACGGATACGAATTATCACCCTTAGCCCAGCTGCATCTCCTATCCCACTTTCTAACCACGATCATAAAAAGAAAGAATCAAATATACTAGAATATGACAGTGGAGGGCAGTTGCCCGGGCACAGAAATATAGAGGATACATGGTACAGGCTTCCAAACTAGCTTTCTATTCTCTGAGAGGTAGCGAGGAAAGAACTCTGGCTTTGGAGCTAGGCTGGTCTGTCTTCAATTCCCAGATTGGCCATTTATTAGTGGGAGAATCTGAATATATTATTTAACCTCAATGAGTTTCATTTTTTTCTACCTGGAAAACGAATATAACACTCACTTTGCAGAATGTGAGAGTTAAATGCATGCATTCATTTAACAAATCATGTGTTGAAAACCCACATGTGACAGTTCCTGTGCTGGGCTCTAGGGATACAGCTGTGAACAAAACAGCAAAAGTGCTTGACCTCATGGAGCTTACATTCTACCTCAAGAGAGAAGACAACAAAAATGAAAAAATCAAATCTATGTTATGTTAGATGGAGGTAAGTGCCATGGAGAAAAACAGAGCAGGGAAGGGGGAAAGAAAAGGCTGTGCTTGTAACCCCTGCTTGGCTGCGAGCTGCTTGAGCCAAGGGTACGATCTTTCTATCGTATCGCTAGCATTTATCATAATGTCAGCTGTATATTAAGCGATGCACACGTTTCCTGAATGAAAGGAGTTACTGAATAAACACCAGTGCTGAGGAGAGAAGTTTATCTCGTGAAATCATTGTAATACTGCTTACCTGGACACTTTTGTGTGCTTCCAGACAGGTAATAATTATGTCAGCAAAAATGGTGCCCTTCCCTTCTCCTTGTTCTTGCTGGTTCTGTAAGTGTCCTAGCCACGGTTATATTTTGTATTGGAAATAAGAACGCTTTTAATGTACCTTCTGAATAATAATATATCCTTGAGTTTAAAACAATTAACCACATGCATTTTTCGGGCCTTTGCTGAATAAGGAATATGGAAAACCATTTGACAAACGGTTCAGTATTTCAATTTTTATATTAAGGAACTTTGGTATTCTATAGTTTCTGGAAAACTGGCATGCATATGTTGCAAATATTAAAATCATGCTTTAGAATAATATTCAATGTCAAGGGACAATGTGCATAATATGTGGCTAAATGGGGTAAAAAAAACAGTATGTGATGTCCTCTCATACGCATAAAATACAGGAGGCCTTACAGATGATGGTGATTTTCTTTGTGCTTTTCTATATTTTTTACATCAAACCTGGATTATTAGTCATTTCCTATCCCCCAAATTCATATTATTTTTAAAGTATCATAAACTGAATATAAAAGAAACAATAAAATTGTATTTGTATGATGGCTTATAAGTTGATGATGGCAATGCCATAAAATGGCAATAAATTGAAATATTTATTTAAGATACGCAAATGCGGCAGACTGTAAGATAAAAGAATTAACCTAGAGTATTGGAAACAGCTTACCTCCTAGGGTTGTTTGATGAACAGATTAGACGGTGTATGCAAAAATGCCTTCTGAATTATTTCTTGTGTAATTACAAAGCTTAACGCTTGTATCATCCACTACACTTTCCATGAGAGCAGGAACTTTGTTTACTGCTGTATCTCCAGCACCCATCACACAATATGTGTTCAATAAATACTCGGTATGAATATTTTGTTTTGGTAATTGATCATTATTTCATAGGAGAAAACTATCCTCAAGTGATTTGATGGCACTACAATTCCTTCGAGTTAAAATCTGAATTCCTGTTTTCAAGATTTACTCAATCTAGTTGACAATGTCTTTTCCAGCCCAGTAATGTGATACACACAACCTCTATTCAAACTCAAATACTGTCTCCTGAACTATTGATGCCTTTTTTCCTTCTCTGCAGAAAGTCTTAAAATACCCAGCTCAAATAAAAAAATCTTCGTTTGCCTTATTCATTTTTGCATTTCTGTCCCCAGGGACCAGGACAGCCCTTTGAATATGGTAAATGTCCAATCAATATTTGTTGATTTATTTTCACATACATCATTCGCTTACAATTTTTATTCCAATGAAGGTAAATCAATTTCCAGAAACTCTTCTCTTACTCCATATGAAGGTGCTATTATTGTTTTGAGCAATTTTTAAAAAGTATTCTCGCCTATAAATGCTGCTTGTCACAAAAATTATTGCAGTCATGTCACAATGTACTAGAAAGACCAGGAATGAGCTGGTTATTTTCCAATTCCAGTAATCTGTGTCATGTCTTACGTTTTGTTGTAACTCCAGTTCCTTGGATTCCACCCCCACCCCCACCCCGACTCGTGATCGTATCCAATTAATAAGATTGAAATAATGGCAATTGTCTTTCTGGATCTAAAATTCCAGGGCGCTTCATGCCTTAAATCGTTCCATGTGTAAGTTAGGTGCTTAGGAAAGCCTGTAAGCCATCATCTGAGGAGCTATATTTAGTGCTTAGTTTATTAAAAAAAAAAAAAAAAAAAAAAAAGAGCACGTGGCGGGGGAAACGCCCGGGTGTAGCTTAGCGGCGAGGGGAGCGCCGGGCCAGGTGTAAGCCTCTCAGAGATGCTTTTACGTGTCCCCGGCCAGCTGTCTCCAGATAAAACTCCGCTTATTTGCGCTCCTGCGGACGGGAGCTAACTCCAGTGCCCCTCAAACCAGCTTTGCACAGATTTCACAAAGCTTGAGCTGCCGGCTCCTGATTTTTACCATAAAACGACCCAACTGCGTCCAAGGCAGATTTGTCACCCTATTTCAGGGCCCCTCGGGGAATCTTACAGAATTACGACCTTGGAGTCGAGCGCACAGCCCAAACAGAAGGACTTGCACAGAGACAGACCTGGCAGCTGTCACACAGCTTTGGTGAGACGCGCCCCGGCGCTACAGAACTAGCAAAGCGGGGGCGGGAAGTCGTCGGGCCGTGTCTTCGGGGCGGGGGCGGTGGGGCTGTTTCCCGGCTGGCACGGGGTAGGGACCGCAGGAGTCGCCCCAAGGTGCCGCCGCAGCCGGTGGAGCCACGCGCCGGCGCTTCCAGAGCCCC